CATATAAATAATATCTTATACACGGGCGTGTCAGAGTATTAAAACCCTAAATCCACTTACTAGGCCCCTTGTTCTTCTTCTCCAGTTTTTGTTTCCCCACTCTGCGGTTGTGTGCAATTATTTCCGCCTCAATCGCAGCGTTCTGCGTGTGTTCCTCCTCCAGTTTCCTTTTGCGGCTTTCTAATTTATTAACACGTGCCTTGTACAGTTTTTTCCTCGTGAGCTGTACGTGTGCATGTGCATATAATTAGTTTAATGTTAAAAGAACGCTGACATACACACACACGATTGAGATAGTATGCCTCACATACTCAAGCCTGATACAGCTACTGCCCCGTAAGCTGAGTTCGAGTTCGCGATAGTGTACATACACACACACATGCAGTCGTTGAAAAGTGAATGTGTACAAACGATACTGTAAACAAAACATTAACCATCAATATTGGAATCGCGCACGCACGCACACACGCACACACACATATATATTTAGGATCAGAAATTATAATAATAGTAGGAACACGGACTTATGGATTGGATGCTGTAATACGATGTGTCTTTCCACATAGATTTATGCGTCTGACATGACGCTTACACACAAACCTTGTATTCATTCTCGCACGTCCGCTTTTCAAAGGCGACCATGTGTGCAATGGACTGTAACCTGTAGTCTCTGCTTATCTCCGCTACTTTATCGGTTGCTTCCTTGTCTTTCTGCAGCTGAGCTACCTTTTGCACATACACATCCAGCGTTCCTGCCTCTAACAGTCCGATGTCGTTCTCTATTTGTTCTAATTTTTGTTTGTATTTTCTGTACCAAAAGTGGGTGAATTGCGAGTGTGGGTGGGTATTTACTACACGTGATTGTATATGTATATGTACATATGCATATGCATATACATATATACATACATATATACATACACACACACACACACATATATATATATATATATATATATATCGATAGATAAATAGACACAGGCTCATAATTCAATAAAAGAGTGTCCGTAAGTGCATACTTGGTGGAAAGGAGGAACTAGTGAATGTATCAGGCACAGGTGAAAACCCTAAACCCAAAATCCAGAGACAAGTCACGGTCTGAAGAACACTCAGGCCGACCCTGCCCCAAATAAAGCCTAATTACAAACAATTTATATATAACTTACAGGTTCTTAAGTTGTGAGAACTCCTCCTCAATCTCATACATGTTCTGTACAATGACTTGGCTCTCCATCTCCGAATCTGAAGTGCAAAAGAAGTGTTTATGAGTACATGTTAAACCATTCGACGGGTATTGTCCACCAGGCCAATGCAAAGGAGAAAATACCATATCATCGAAGGTAAGGTGCGCACTCAATGCTTATAGCTTTAAATGCGACCACATACCTCTATATGATACCTAAGTTCCATAGTAGCTGTATATGAGAAGCCGGTGAGACAAGCGTCTCAAACCACAAGACATTGTACTAACACGGAATGGCTACAAGGACGTGTATGCCAGGATAAGAACTTCGAGATTAAACCCAATGGACATGTACGCAGGTAAGGGTGGTTGTATGCGTTCTTTTTTGAAAAAAAAGTATTTGTATGCGGGTGTCCCAAAAAAAAGGACAGGACAAAGCCCAAAAAATAGGACAGGACATTCTAAAATTTTAGAGGGGCTCAAATAAGGTGCGAGCCAAACAAGCCATTGATCCACCGATATCAATGTGCGCTATATATCCAGAGGCAAGAGCATGTGCGTACATGTAGACGTGCTAGCAGCACTTCATAACTCTTCACGAATTGTGGATGCTCGTCTGCTCGATTTCATACACCACACAGTTCATAAACAAGATGCTCGCGTTTGTTTTTGGTCCCATCAATCGCGCAAATAGGGGAGCACGAAACACATCGTTGCTGTATTGCATGGAGTGGGGTGATCCATATTAACTAGGATAAGTGTAAGTATACTATTCCTCACGTACTGAGTGTTGCCTCTAATACAGCGGTGAGAGAAATGAAGGCATATACACGTTCACATACCTTGGTCGAATTCCATATCCCCGGTTTGTAGATGCGTCATGGTGATTGTTGACATCGCGTGTCGTGTGTACTGGTAGCGTCTTTCAATATTTGCTGACGCTGTGGATATATTTTCGGTACGCTCAACACGTCTATGTGTGTGATTCACGTTGCTGGGGAAGCAGTGTAATGTGAATAAGTCTGTGATTGTGGCGTCGTGTTGGCAGGCACCTCTCGCTTTAGTCAAGACTGCAATTTCGTGCGTACTGTTTCGCTCACCTATTGATATGTGTATTGATTATCTGATACGCACAAAATGCCCCGTACAACCGGATGTTGGACAGTGAAAAATGCTCGCCAGGTCTAGGCTGAAGTCACTGAAATGTGGGTGAGTACACCGTGTATCCTATATGAACTCCGAGATTTATCTCACTGGAAAATACTTACCGATATATAAAGAGATGCAACAATGAATGCGATTGCAGATATCACAGACGCAAACTGTGCTGTTCTTGAATAGCAGACAATTTGCGAACATTCAATTCTGGCAATACCTTGGTGGCGATTTGAATCACCACTGTAATCTATAGTAACGTAGGCCGAATTAAACGTGTCCTCAATAGCACACTAATCTATTCGTTAAAAGTAGGTCTAATAGTATTGGCGCAGAATTGATTGTGCCGAGATCCCCCAATCTGTGGAGATTAATTAGACTTGTGGTTGAACTGCAAATGTCGTTGTATACACCTGTTAAGCTAGGTGTAGTGGTAGGCGGATCCTCACTTTGAAGTTGTTTAGTATTTAAACGACGATGGAATTGAGACAGTGGAATATCTGTATGAATTATTATAGTCATATATATGATTCTACTGATGGTGGTGGATATTCACAGCCACAGGTATGCTGAATGATCACTACGAGCGCGACACAGGTATTGTATTACCATTATTTGCACAAGCACAGCACAAACAGAGAAATCCCATCCCATCCCATCACTCATCACAACCCAAAAGCATTTGACGTAAATATTTTGAAATTTGTTGAAATTTTCGGATTTCGGAATTGGGACAGTCTCACACAATCACAAAATTGGGACTTCAGATTTGTCAGCCGAAGGCAAAACGATGAGCAATTTAACGGCATTCACCAATGAACTGCAGGTATCAATTTTTGAGCATGGGGACGCAGAAGTAGTAGACAACTAAAGAGGACTACTCTTTCTCCCGTCATCGATAAAAACTAGTTCTGGTTGGTGATTCATGATGGTGTCCATCGTCCACGCCCGGACGTACTAACTTTCCACAAAATATATTTTAACTTTTTACATATTTTACCACGAATATCACAGATTCACATAACTATACCGCTGTGACGACAGTGACGCTGCGGCTGTGACCACAAATATCATGGGCAGTGGGCAATTAGACAATAACTTTGTTTAGGCGCGCAATTTTTTTATTACTCCCTTTGAGGTAGGGTTTTATGCTGGCGCGGTTGAAGGCTTGTGGTTGACTGGTCAGTGGTCGCCTAACCTGTAGTTGGGTTTTCAAATTTGGTGTCCAATATAAATATTTATTACAATTTTCTGGACCTGCTTCAGTTTGACTTTCGTACTGTTGTACATACTCAAATATATGCATAGGTATATTTCCGTTCATCTCGATCTAACACCCCCTAATCAAACATTCAGGACCAAACCGAAGTAAATGTTGTAGAATGTAGAATGTACTGATTTTAGAATGGTACGTTACCAGGTAAAACTCCAAGTAAGACTGTGTATCATAGTCGGCTAAAATGTGAAGATAGGAGGTATAAACGTGGACTGCAAATAATATCCTGCTGACTATATAACACAAATATCGTTTTGTATGGCACAGTGTTTAGGCAGGGTGTAAAACAACTGTGGTAAGGTAAACACTCGAATAGATCCAACTGGGATCACAATCGGGTGTACTGGTGCATTGTATGAGACAGTAGGACGCACCCATGTACACGTTCATGGGTTTTTTTTTACAACGTACCGTACACAGAGCATGATTATACTGAAATTTCATTCGGAGCATGATTTGAATTTCTATGTCTTAGGCAGATGTTTAGCTGCCTGGGTGACCAATCTAAAATTGCTTTGCTGCATTTATGTGCAAGGCAATGCCTATTTACTTATAAAACCGGTCAACCCCACTAGGAAAGCATTTTTTAAATATCTCAACAGAAACCATATCTACAGAATATAGCGGGCTTAGTTGTACAATACATGTTCCATACAAAAAGCAATTAGTTATACTTCGCGTCATCCGTTCCGTAGCGTGTTATGTTCATCAAATTTATGGTATTCCGTTCAAGTTTATGACATTTTGTCGGAGCGAAGAGTCATACTTTTACGCTTGAAAGAATTGTACGCATGAGAGATACAAAATAAAGCAAGAAATAAAGCGTTCAGTCATGCTGCTATACCGTGCTGTTCTGTGGACAGTACACGTTACTGATGCTGGCAGAGGTGTGCGATAATGCGCTTCATGACAACGTTTGGGTTGTTTTAAAAAAAAGAAACCAAACAAAAAACAACAAAAACAAACAAACGCATATTTAAAATAAAATAAAAGACTGGGGAGTGGTGACTAAAATAGTGGTGAGTGGTGAACTGGTGAGTGGTGAGTGGTGAGTGGTGAGTGGTGAGTGGTGAGTGGTGTCACTGGTGAGTGGTGAGTGGTGTCACTGGTGAGTGGTGAATGGTGTCACTGGTGAGTGGTGTTTGTCAGTTGTCAGTCGACTTGTTAAATAGTAGTGACACTCTAACGTATATATTCAAAAATATAAATACGCTGAACGCTGCAGCCTGCAACTCGAGTGTCATGACTCATGAGTAGATTGACGTTTTGACGTTGCTTGAAAACACGACTGTCTTGGAGGAATTTAAAAAAAAAACGTTTATGTACTTCATGAGTTCATGTGGGTGGCACTTCCGCGGCTGCGTGGCAGCCTTGGCGGCGCCAGGCTGGCGGAGTGGTGGTGCAAACTGCAAACTGCAAACTCAAGAAGTGGATGTTTCAATTGAAGGCGATTGACGTAATATTTTTTATAGGATTGAGGTATCGAGTGCGAGCCGGCGAGAGGCAGAGAGTTGAACAAGAATCGCCGGGATTTTGTACGGCCCTCTGGAATCTGGATAGGGTCTCGAGCAAAATTTAGCAGAGACCCAAATCCAGCGAGCCGTGGATTTTGACTGGTTTACTGGTAACTGTCCCCAACTTTGGGTTTGTCTTTTCTATTTATAGTTTTTGTATATCAGTCAATAAAATCGGAAGTATCACCTGTTTAAGGATTCTGAACTCCGCTCGAGGATTCGATCCACAAGAGAAGAATAATCAATCTAGAATATACGTAAAAATATGTAGTGCGTTTTCTATTGCGAATTATGCCTCACAATACGATTGTTCGATGTTCGCTTGTCTACGTATTCCTTTTTCTGTTCTTTGGATCACCCAACATTCGCGTATTTTTTAAAAAATATAGCACTTTATATATTTATATCTCCGCCGGATCAACAGTTCAGCACGCTGGTTTTTCACAGCTGATTGATTGTGCTCGCACACAGGTGCATCGCCTGCTGTACTGCTGTAAATAGAGTGTATTTAGACCTCTGTAGTGTAGACTAATAGTGAGTAGTCTGTCGACTGTTCCTAGCCCATCAGAATCAGTATATTTTTAAAAATGGCCATGTACGTGTATTTCCAATTTAAAAAAAAGTGTACCTATAAAAAGCAGCCTTTTTAGTAAAAAAAGACGGGTTATGCAAGGCAGCACCCACGGGCTGCTGGGCAATGTGGGCAAGGGCAAGATCAAAGATGCCATGAGTCCAGGATCCAATTTGCGAAAAAAACCCCCAAAAAAAACCAAAATAGACCTCGCTCTTTTGTACATATAATAACTCTAAATACTAAGCACAGCCTGTAATTTAGTCGCAAATGCGCATATGATACGGACGTTCGAGCGGAATAGGCTTTACAGTTAAATACTTTAGTAGGAAAGCGTACGCAAACGGTTACTGTGTAGTGCAATAGAAGTAAGCTAGTGGCCAGAACGCACGAGTAACAACCTTGGTACTGCTCACCTGTGTATAGTTAGCTCCGCCTCACCGTGTGCATATTAGAACTTCCACTCACTACTGTTATATGAACACACGACCGTGTGCTTCCTCCTACCAAAAACAACATCTTTAATAATTCACCGTCATGCGTTCAACTAGCAATTTGCCTCAGCAGTTGAAGGGGCTTCGCAACGCCTTCCAACGACCTGTCGTCCAGAACTCATCTGCTAAATTGAGCACGAGTGCGTCGCAGGGATTGAGTGTAGCATGCGCACCACAGAACACGTCAGCTCACTGCGTGCGTGCCATTGCAACGTCGGAAACAATCGGACGAAGGTTCTCTACTAGCTCGATATCTAATGCGTCCGTGCAAGCAGGAGTGCATAATACATACATCAACTGGGTCCTGGACAGCCTGAAGTCCTGGCTTCCTTCGGGAACGTCGAGTTTGTTTGCACGCAAGGGTTCTAATGATAGCGATAGTAGCACCGCCAACGGAGGGCATAACAGTCCTCCGCTGCCAGAGCTGCCGGTCAGAAGAAGGAATACTGCAGAGGCTCATACCGAACCTGACTGGCAATATCTCACCGCCCAACAACTGTGCGACGCATCGGGCGAGAACGCACAACCCATTATTTTCTCACGTGAGAATGTAAGCGAGTACTATAGACAACGCAGCGCGCAAAGTAGAAGCGACAATTTAAATACCCACTCCTCGCACCGCATGTCACACTCTTTGGGTTATGTGATCACACATAATGTGTTCACAAGTGTATGCACGTACTTGTTCAATCCCGTCAAGAGGCTTAGTATCAGTGCTGTAGAGAGCACTCATGACACGCTTACGCACGCCCTGACATGCAGCTATTCGACCTACTACTCGGCTGAGAACCTCCAGACATCCGAACAGGTATGTGGAGCCTATGTGTAGCCTATGGGTAGCCTATGTGTGGGAGAAACCACAATGTCAGTTAATATTTGGGAAGATTGAGCTATCGACTTAAAGAGATTGTTGTGTGGTGTGCTTTGTTATACAACTCCTAGGAAGACTGTTGCGCTGCAGTATGTTGCTCTCAATAGCACAAGTTTTTTAGTCTTTACATATGAGTTTGCTTGATTTCTAGCTTCTAATCCTTGTAGTATGGCGCGCGAGGCGAGTTGAGTTAGAGTCTTGGGCGTTTAAAGTGTGTACGGTAGTCAATTGATACGCATTTTGTTCTTGTTTACAGGCCTGTGCGTATGTAGAGTTATGTGACAGCGTTGACTGCTGTCGGATGGCTTAACCGTTGGAGTGTCTCTGATTTGCATACATAGTATGTACTGGGGGTGGTTGATCACTCTCGTTCATCATACGAGAGTGCTATGTGTTCTGTGTGAAGCTTGCAAGTGCTAAGTCTGGGGAGTAGGGGGCGTACGTGGGTCGGGTTGCTACATCCGATTCCTAGCGTATCAGGTGGTGTCTCTGTGTTGGTATGTATTGTTTGGTCGTGCTTGTTGTGGGTGCACGTGGTTCAGTCTGTGACAATCCTCTCATCGCATAACACAAGGACGAGTATATTAGCCTTGCCGTAGAGTAGTGCTGTGGCGTTTCACATAATCACCAGCTTTACGCCTGTGGGAGAAAGTACATACCGCTTGTGCTTCATTGTTTCATTCGCATTAATTGGTGTTCGTGGTAGTGTCACAGGCTGTCTTTACGAGGGTATGATATCCTTGATAAACGCATCACATGTCATAACGTAATCATCCCTTAAGCGTATACAACAACTCTTGTCCCCTTACAAATACTCATCATATCCGTTTCGTTGCACAGACTAATTGGGTGATGAATGGGCTTTCCATCGCCGGCATGATCGCTGCTGTGGACGTTATGTTGCTGGGTTTGGGATACGTTTTGTTCTGAACTCTGCAGCATTAGACTTGCGGGTGGGGTAGACTACTCTCTCTCGCCCGTCCCTGGACAGGGAAGGTTTATGTGATACCATACTCGTCGTAGTTGGCGTTCAATGTGATGCGCCCTGCAGTGTGCTGGTAGCGGTGCCTGTCAATCCATGCGCGGCAAATGATACCCGCGAGACTAGGGGTTTAGGGGTTTTTAAACCCTACACTGAAGTGGCATGACCTATCACAGATTGTATGGTAATCTACCTGCGAGTACTGAGTTTAATGAGTGTGTTCCTGATTGTCGCCTGCGTAGTAATCGCATGCAACAGTCGTATCGTCATGCAGACGAGTGGTGGTAGTGTCTGTGTATGAAGGCATTCATGGGGTAACGAGATGGCCTGAAGGTCAAATTAAGGGGCTATTTAGTTTATTGAGAGGAGGACGGTTGTTCCACATGCCGCTGCCCATCAATACCGGTACAAGGACTTGGGTCAGTTATCATCGTCCGTCGCACACATAGTCACACTCCCATACACAGATGCCAGTATGGTGCTCCACACGACCACACACACCGCGTGGTCTTGGGTATAGCGTTTGACAGACTGGCAATGCGAGCGCCGCTGTTTAACGCATTGCACAGTGGTCTGCGTAGAGAAGACACGTGCGCACAGTGCCATTAGCCCGTTTGTGGTTGTGACTGACTCTGATTCCGTCGGTCGTGTTGGGTGGGGATGGGTTCGCGCACGGAGTTATGACGTGCTTGATATGCACACGACTGAGTTGCACTGTGTTATAACGTTCGGAGGCACGAACCAATCTCTATACAGACGCCATACGATGGTGGACGAGTCGCGTATCAGACCGTATAGTCTGCATGACATGACTGCCAAACGCCCTGTAGTAGTTACACACCACACATAGCGAGCTTATCAGTATACAGTAGTAGCATATCTGTGAGTTGAACACTTAATGATAGAAAACTCAGAAGGATAAGTAAAAAACCAACGCAAAAAAACTAACGCTCTCAAAATTGCAGTTGCTGAATGCTGGTCGCCAGATAGCATTTAGATGCTATTTTTAGCCTCTTTTTTTTTACCATAGTTTTTCTTGTCCCAATTATGTTATAGTCGTTAGGAGTACTTGTTGCTTTGCACCCGGTTCATAACAACTGGGAATAGCACTGGCAATTATGTTTGTAATTTGAAACTTATCGAATGTTGTGGTCGCAAAAGTGCTTTATTTTTTAAGACCATTGAGAGTGATCATTTCCGGGGCCTATGCATTGTGCCAATATATATAACGTAAGATGATTCGTTCGGGTTGTGTCAGCGATGTCTGAGTCATGAATAATAGACATGTGCAGGCGCACATGTCTACCACACATAACTTTTGCAATTGCCTGATATATATATATATATATTTATATTTATGTATATAT